CCCCAGTAGATTGTTGTATGTCATAGCTGCACATCCTTCTAGTTGCTGTATGTGGGACGCGGCCTCAGCATGGCTGGAGAAGAGGTGTGTCGGTGCGCGCCTGGGATCCGAACCCAGGCCGCCAGTAGCGGAGCGCGTGCACTTAACCGCTAAGCCACGGGGCCGGCCCCCAGTCTCAGTTTAAATGCACTCTCTTCAGAGCACCTTTACTGACCTTCCAGACTAGGTCAGGTCCCCTGTTTTACACTGACTTAGCGCTCCTTCTTCATAGAATTTATGCAATGATAATTAAATAATCATAAAATAAGCTTTTTAATATTTATCCCTCTAATAGTTTTTTTTAAAGATTTTTTTATTTATTTTATTTTTTCCCCCCAAAGCCCCAGCGGATAGTTGTGTGTCGCAGCTGCACATCCTTCCAGTTGCTGCATGTGGGACTCGGCCTCGGGATAAACGGAGAAGCGGTGCCTCGATGCGCACCCGGAATCCGAACCCAGGCCGCCAGCATCGCAGCGCGCGCACTTAACCACCAAGCCACAGGGCCGGCCCTAATAGTCAGTTTAAGGACAAGAACTGTTTTGCTCGCTGCTGTATCCCCAGTGCCTAAAATAGGGCCTACAAAATGAACACTTGTTGAAAGAGTGACTAAACAGGGAGAGGGAGACAACCAGAGGCTATCGTACATGAGAAGGGCTCATGTCATCACTGGCCTCCAGGAGGCACAACTTTCTGCCCAAACTCTTGCCTCAGCCATCCTGGCCCCTGGCTCATGCCTAGCATCTGCTTACTCACCACACTGTCTGGGGACTGAAGCTGGCTTGGCAAGGCTGGGCTGCTATTGTAGCCAGAGGTGACACCAGAGGAGAGGCTTCCATTGGAGCTGGTGCACAGGGAGCTGGAGGTGGCCAGGGTATGTAGTTTTTCCTCTTCCTGGGAAGGACAGACCACTATCAACCAGCTTCTGGTGCATCCTCACTACCCATGCCCCCACCACCCTCGAGACCACACATCTCCCCTCTCCAGCTCCCATCACCTCCCACCTCAGCCTCATACCCTCACACCTCCCCACACCCTCACCCCAACTATATACCAAAGCCGCCTCCTCCCAGACTCTGACCCAGGGACAGGAGCCGGTCTGATGAGGATGACATGTAAAGAGAGAGTAAGCACAGCTCTGAGCTGGCAAAGGGAGTCCAACACCCTCCTCCAAATGCTACGTCCCAAGACTCAGAGGCAGCCCTGCAGAGGCTGACCCAGTCTGAGGTCTGCCCAGGCTCCAGATCTACTCTGAAATCAGAGGCTCGCCCCACTCCACACCCTCAGCAGCTGGGAGATGATCTGCTGGCGGATTCTCAGCTTCTCCTGTTCAGCCCGCTCCCGCAGTCGGTCCCGGGCTTGGGCAATCTCCACCTTGGCCTCCTCACGGGCCCGCTGGTATTCTCGTAGCATCAGCTCTATGTCAGAGGGTGGGTGAGCAGACCTTGATGCCAACCCTTGGCTCCTGGGAAAGACCATAGGGGTGGAAAGATGCCTTCTAATATGGTGGGTGGATGATGGCCCCTGCCTGCTCACCCTAGGCCCACTCAACACCACCTCTAGAAGGACCCATCCTCTCTTTTCCCACAGGATCTTAAAGTTTGGTTTTACATCCCATTCTGAGGCTCAGGCCTGCAGTCTAACATAGCATGTCACAGCCATTCTGTCTTTCCTCTCCCACGACTTCTCTCTGCCCTCCCACGTCCTCTTCTTTCCCTTTGCCCCCGTCTCTCACAGCTGCCTCCACTTGTCCACAGCCACGTAGGACCCACTCCTGGAATCGCTCCTGTCAACGGAAGCTGCAGCCTCCATTCTCTAGGATGCTAAGATCCAGGCCCTGCTCCCACAACCCCCTCACCCCACACAGCACCTGCAACATCCGCACCTGGTGGTCTCCACAACATCCTTCCTCAGTTGCTGCAGGTATTCTCGGCGCCTACTGGGTAAGTCAGGGTCCCGGGTGGGGAGATCTCTGTTAGGCAGGAGGCTCAGTTGCTTCTGGGGGCTGAGGCTTCGTGTCCGGCGGAAGTTCTGAAGTCGCTCAGCCCGCTCTCTCCGGAGAGTCTCAATGGTTTGTTTTTGCCTGAGACAAAATGTGATCAATTTACTGAAGCTGGCCCTGAATGCCCTCTCCATCTTAAGGTCTATCTCTGACCCCTGGAAGACCCCAGAGCTGAGCAAGGGGAGAGGTAAGAGCCAGCTCTTACCCTTCACTAGTTCTCTTTCCTCTCAGCCCACCCCTGGCCCTCCCACTCCAGGCTGGAGGCCCTTACCGGGCATAGAGCTCCTCCCAAGTGGACAGCACAGGCTCATCGGCCATGAGTGCCTCCCCGGTCCCGTTCTGCAGCACCTGCAGCAGGGCATCTGCCTCGCCAAAGCCGTGGTGCAGTTTCGCTTCTGTGAGTTCCATGCTGAGTGAGAGGTTCTGGGCCCCAACTTGCAGGGTGATCTGCTCCTTCTGGGACCACTCAGGATCCTGGCTCTGGTTGTCAGGAGGTTGTGGGGGCCTCTGTGCCTGCTCTCCAGAGCTGAGATCCATCATACCCGGCCCCCTAGGAGAGCCATCCTGAACCCCACACCAATTACTGAATTTGTTATGCATTGGGAGGTCCCTCAGGCTGGGATGCTGGGGCTCAGGTGCCATGCACATCTGGGAACTGAGGCGCAGCAGCCCCTCAGGTTGGCAGACCTCAGTCGGGCCCAAGGTGGAACCCTGGAGCCCTGTGGTACCAGTTAGTTTAGAGACACGACAGGGGCTAAGGTGCTGGAGGCCTCCCCACGAAGAGGAAATATCCAGAGTGGGTTGTGGCTGCACAGGAGATGCTGAACTCTCACCCCCATTTTCTGTCTTGCTCTGTCCTTGCCTTAGCCCCCTACTGCTCAGTGGGCCACATTCCAGGGAAGCCACGCCCTCAGGCACAAAGCGATCGGCCAGCCTCTGGCTCCTGCTCCGTGGTGGAGGTGGCAGTCTGCTTTGGACCCAGGTGGTGGTCCTGGGCTGAAGCTGTTGAGGGGGCTGCTCTAAGAAATGAACTTGGAGTTTCGGGCTCTGCTGTGGGCTGCTGGGGGAGCTTATCTCAAGGAAAGACCTGCCATCGCTCCTTTCTAAGGGACTTCTGACTTCTCCACAGGGAGCCCTCACTCTCTGGGAGCCATCTGACTCTTCAGTGGTTTGAGAATAATTATCCCTTGGAGGCCTAGGGGCATCAAGTGGAAGGTCTGGGCTGGAGACAAGCTTCTGGTGGCCTTCAAGAGGGTGAGCTGAGGGGGCCCAGAGAGGCAAAGAGGCTGAGGGCAGCCCCAATGCTTGGATGCTGGCACTAAGTGTGAGGATTGGGGAAGAGGCCCTGTCCACCAACAAGGCATTTGTGGGGCACAGATCCTTCTGAACCCCAGGCTCCCTGACAGACTCCACAGCACTGGGGCAGGGCCCCGGGGAATGCGAGATGCTGAGGCTGGGGCTGCTGACAGCCAAACAGGAGGGTTCCTCTGGCTGAGAGCTGGGAGGCAGGGAGGCATCAGGGGAAGCCTGGAGGCTCACAAAAGGGAGGTTCTGTCCAAAGGAGGCTTTCTGAAACCTCAAGTGGGATAAGGGTCCTGGAGGGCTCTGGGGCCTGCAGTGGGGGCTTTCTTCCTGAAGATCTGGGGGCCCTGCTGTTTTCCATGCTGTTTCCTCTGCCTCTCTCTTCTGAAGTATCCCTGGGACATGTCCTTTTTCTTGAGACATGGTGGAGATATCTGTACCCAGCACCTCAAGGACTACACGGACCTCCTGAGGGTTGGCCTCTGGGGCCTGGAGCTGCAAAGGTGGTGAGGCCAGGTCAGTCTGGATGCCCTCATCCACAGTGGTCTGAGTACAGCTGTCCATCATAAGGACCTCAGGCACCTCATCTGGGATCTCCCTCTTGGTATTCTGCTCCTTTTCAGTCACACTTGGCTGGGAGAGACTCCCCAACAGCTCAGAGGTACTGTGCAGGAGCCGTGAGAGGTGAAGAGACAGGTTGTGCATGCTGGTCCAAGTGGCCAGATCAGGGACCGGCATTGCACTGGCTTCTGACTGAGCAGAGGAGATGTCAGTGTAGCTCCAGTGGAGCCTGCAGCCCTGGGTCTGTGTGCCCTGCTCCAAGGTGCTCACCCTGGACTGCTCCACAGGGCTGCCCGCCTCTGATGGATACAGCAGCATAATCTCATCCACTGGACCTGCAGCACTTCCTTCAGCCAAGGGGGCCTCACTCCTCAGACAGCCTGCTTCATCAGGGGTGCCTGGGAACTGGGCTCTCTTGTCAGGACCCTTAGTGGGGGCTGCTCCTTCAGAGTCAGTTAGGATGCGGGAGTTTCCCAAGGCAAATGAGGAACCCCATACTTCCCAGGCCTCATGTGAACCTCGGGCATTTTCAATGCTGCTGTGTGTGCTCAACAGGCCCCGGGCACTGGCATAGGTGCTGAGGTGGGAGTGGAATAGAGCGTTCTGGTCGTCTAGGCCGTTGTCCATGCTGGAGCACCGGGCAATGTTTGATGGTATGAGGCCCTGGGGTGTCTGGCTACAGGAGACATTGACTGCACTGCCAAACACATACTGCTTCCAGCCAATGCACGCAGGCCCCTCTGGCCACCAGGGCAGGACATAGGGATTGATGTCACTGGAGCCAAAGTGCAACACTCCTTTGTCCGCCTCGGAGTGCCGCTTCTCTGGGCTGCGCTGGTCACCTCGTCTCGCTGGCTTTCCCTGCCGGGCCTGTTCCAGAGTACCAGACTTCCAGCTGGTCATGAAATCAGGGGTTGGCATACAGGAGACAGCTGAAGACGTCGGGTAAGGAGGGGTGGCAGGTTGCAGGGGCCTGTGATCAGCAGTGCTATTTTCCACATTAGACAAGGCTTTCTGACTGCAGCCCTCAACTTGCAGAGATGTTCTCGCCGCCGACCTTCCTGAGGAATAGTCCCTGGGATGTGTGTTCCACAATCTGTTAGGGTCCTGTGTATCCTCATCTGTAGGAGAAGGAGGCTCCACACTCAAGTTCAGCTCCTGAAGAGACCGGGAAGAGCTGACCACAGAGAACTGTTGTCTAGGGGAGGACTTGGAGTGTTTGGGGCCAGAGAAGATTGCAATCACAGGAACCGAGCACCTGTGGCGGGGAGCCGGCTGCTCCCTGCCAGAAGAGGGCTGGTCAGGGCTCTGGGCTGCAGGCCATGGTGCTCCACTTTGCCCCAAGGGGACAGCAGCTGAGCCTTTGAAGCCTGATGAAAATGTCCTGGACACAGGGGGCTTGGCTGCAGCCACCTCCTCTCCGCGCGCATCTCTAACCTGACAGCCATCCAAGCTACCTTCATCGGAACGTGGGGGACTCCTGCCCTGGGCAGGTTCATCACCACCGCCTGAAGCCTGGTCTCCCTCCTGTTCTTCCTCCTCCCAGGGACTGTCAACCCGGGGACCGGAGACGTGCTTTAACTTTGCTATGAACTTGGCTTGGGGATGCAAACTACTGTGATTCCTGGACTCAGTGGAAAGTTGTGGCTTTTCTGGAAGGCATCTGACCACATTTTCTAAACATCTATGCTGTGGTTCTACCACCAACTCACTCTCGACAAACTCTTCACTTAAATTCAGAATGTGTGGTCTCCCAGTTGCTACAGGTGGTTCTGGCTTAGTTTGAGACTCCTGTGCATTCTGGCCACCTACAGAGCTGTGCTGAAGCTTCCTCAGTGGCTCAGAGTATATGCCTGCAGGGAAAGCGGCAGCCTCATGCTCTTTTATGGTTTTCTCAGCAAGCTTTTTCTCAGGATCCCCGACTGACTTTGAGCTTCCATCAGCTACTGAGTGGCTAAGGGAAACTGTCCTCACATCAGGGAGAGCAGGGGAGCTGCAGCCTTCAGCCAGAGATAGGACAGCAGCAGTAGTGGAGGGCTCCAGAGTGCTGCTGTCTGTTGCCCCAAATTCCACATTAATGCCTTTGGGTTCAAGGCCATGTGCCAAGAGCATCCCAGGTTCCCGGGGATAGCTCTCTCCTTTTTCATCCATTCTACAGGCCCAGGAAGGTACTATGCAGGGTGGGTGGAGAGTGTGTGGGGCAACCTTAGAAGTCCCTTTCCCCATGTCACCATCTCTATAACACAGTAAAGTGGAGGAAGGGATGAAACAGGCATGAGAAGCAATGGGTTGAGGACTGCACAGTTGTTGGCAAGGAAGAGTTCTGCTGTCTTCTTGCCCCCCAGATGGGCTCTTAGTCTTGCTGCCTTCAATGCTCCCTGAGAAGACAACACAATCTAAAGTTTCCTGTGGGCATCTGCATAGGGCCTCCTCCCTAACTCCTCCAGGATCTGGGCTAGGTCTTTGATCTGGCAATGGAGTTGGCCTGGGATGTTTGCTGCCAGCCCTGCAGGCTTCTGCCAGCCCAGAGCCAACACTCCCCTTCCACTTCACACACTGCTGTGAGGGAGCTTCCAGTTCAACCCTTCTCAGGGCTCCAGGCAGGACGGTACCTTGTTTGGGACTTGCCCTCCCTTCTAAGCCAGTGGAAGCCTCAAGGTGTTGGACATGGTCTTGGTTAGGGCCTGAGAGACTGGCAGAATTCTGAACATCACAGATCATAAGCTGACTTTCAAAATAGGTTGTTTTTACTCCCTGTGCAGCTACTAAGAAGTTACCTGAAGCTCCTCCAAACGTAGTGTCTAGAATTCTAGGTTCTTGGTGTGCCGGGCTGCTCTCCTGATTGCCAGGGGGCATGCCCTCTGCAGTCTCCCATGGAGCTAATTGGCTTTGCCCATGCAGAATCACTCTAGGATCATCAGAAAGGGCCTGAGAAGATAAGGCAGCCACTACTTTCTCTGGTATTACCCTCCTGTCCTCCTCTACAGCTGTTGAAGAAGGAAGACTATCTGAGCCCAAAGGACCAGCAGAGGAAGGCATTTTGGTTGCTTCTTTCTTTTTCTCTATGATTTCAGAAGAGCTAGAGCGACATTTAAACTGTTCACCTGCTCCCAGGAAATGTCTCAGTTCTCCAGGACAATGGCTTTTGCCCAGAGCAGGGTCAGCATGGGAGGAAGTCTGTGAGGGATACCACGGCCTTGTGTTAGTTTCAGTGTTAGGCAGAGGTTGAAAGCTGTCTGCAGAGAGGGGTGTGGCCTGAAGGACTTTCCTTTCATCAGTCAACAGATGTCCTGGTTCAACAGAGAGAGATGCCACATGAAATCCCTGTGCTTCACCCTCATTCCTGGTCACGTCTGACACTGATGGGTCCATTTGTTGACACTGAGGCCTGCCAGGGGCCCTTGAAGAACATTCAGGTTCTAACAAAATCTCATAGTAAGGAAGGACTGTGCCCCCAACCACCAAGTCATGAGGCTGCTTTCCCTGGGTCTTTACCTGTCTGGTCTCCTCCAACATAGCTAGACCCGTGGATGTATGGGCAGAGGCCTCTGGGTGAGGCACTGTTGGCAGGGACAGGGGTGCTGAGAAAGCACCACTGGTAGGACTGAGGTCCTCAGCCAACTCCTCTGCCTCTTGCCTCACCTCCCTGCCTTGGTTGTTACCCTCCTCTAAGGGGCAGCTGGCTCTCATTTCAAGTGGGCTAGAGATCCTGTTCAGGGAACTGGCTTTTTTTGTTCCTCCTTGTACAGCTGCCTCGGCTTCAGGAACAGAACCCACCCTGGTACTCAAGCCCATCGACATGTTTCTAAGGTCTCCTCCTTGGTCTTGGGGACTGGTGCTTACTGATCTCCTGCCCTCTGCCCCCAGGGCAATGCTCTCTGGTACACTGGATTGACCACGAGATCCCATGGCCATGGATATTGCAGACCCACACCAAGCAGAGTGTGCCATAGAGGAGCCGCCTCTAACATTTCCCTGAGGGCTGTGGCTTCTGGGCTCTCCACAGTGGTCCTGGCACCCTGCTCCAGTTACCAAGGGACTGTCAGGCATTTTCAACATTGTGGGATCCAGCACATAATCAACTGAAGAGACACCTATAGTATCAGGTGCATGAAGATAGCTTCTTTGCAGCCTTGGAGAATTCAAGGGCAAAGTATTACTCAGGTCTTGGTGAGGAGCCATAGAGGAGCGTGGCTGGCTCAGCAGTGGGCCAGTCTCCTGGCTGGAAAATGTGCCCATACAATGCTGGCTTGGACTTGGAAGTTTCTGAGTCAATGAGACCATTTTTTTTTCCTCCTGTAGGCTCCCTCCTCTTTGCACAGCCATTTTGTCAACTCTGCCTTGAATTTTTGGCTCCTCTTGCTTAGAACTACTTATGCATTTGGGAACGTGGCTTTCTTGAAAACCTTTCACAGTCTCTAATTTCTCAAGACTTCCCAAGGCACAGGGCTGCCCTTTGGGGCTTGCTAATGCATCCACCAACTTACCCTCCTTCTCAGAAGACCTCTCAGGCCTGGACTGCAATGGCAGAGCTCTAGCCAATTTCGTTCTCCTTGGATTAACAGAAGGGTTGGTGGACCCCCTGTGAGCTGTACATGTCCCTAAATAATCACAAGTGTCCCTGGTGGGTCTGTCTAATACAGCTGGCTGGGTGTGCTCTCTCACAAATTTAACATCTTGTACACATTCCCTTGACTGGAAGGGGCTCAGGGTGATTTTCTGGACCTGGAGATCTTCCCCACTGCTACTACTAAGCTCCATTTCTCCAGCTTCACCATCCCTAAAGATAACATCATCTGTCTGTTTTGGAGAAGATGGCTGATCCTTGAAGGAAAAGTGATTTCCAGAGCTGCCTGGCCCCGGGACATGGTCAGCAATATCCTGGTCCTTCTGGTCCTGGATCACAAACTCTTTACTGATTCTCAGTATGTTGGAAGCATATGGCTGCTTATTCTGCTTGGATTCCATTTCCAAGATGCCATTTTCCAGCTGCGTTACACTCCTAATTAGCTTAGCCATTTCATCACCATTATTAACTCTTTTATTCTGTTTCTTTCCAGAAAGTTCTTCTTTGGGGTTTAATGTTTCTTGTGACTTTCCAGGGCCCTTGCCTTCACTGGAGTTTATTTCCTGAGAGCATGTAACTGACTGGAATCTTTTATATGTGGACTCTGTCCGTGGAACCTCTTCTGAGCTGTCTTTGGGATGGAAAGCTTTTCCAAGAAGCCCAGTTTCATTCTTCCATTCCCCCTTATAGGTTGGACTCTCATCCTGGGCCATTATCTCTGGGCTGCTTACTCTATGATGTACTGATCTGGACTTCCAAGAAAGAGCAGGTTCCCCTAACATGTCCTTGTCAAGGCCTAAATTGATGTTTTTATACATGAAATCAGACCTGGCCCCAGAAGTAAGCTGTCTGTTGTTATCAAAGGCCTGGGTCTGTCTTAGGACTGCATTCTGATGCTGCTCTTCTTCCCCACCTGCCTCAGATTCACAAACCTGGAGAGGCTTCCGAGACCCAGAACCATTTGAGCGAACATTGCAGTAGGACTGTCCAGTGGCCTTTTCTCCCTCCTTGAGTGCTGGAAGACTGTGTTTATTTAAAATTCCAACTTGATTTTCAAATTCACATACTTTTGTGCTAGTAGACGGAAGAAAACGTCTGTTCTGGGCAACAAAAAAATAAACTGAATTATGGCTTTCTTCTTTAATATTTCCAGGGCATTTCCCTGTTTCTCCGCTAACTTCCTTGGTGTTCAGATCAACTGGCCTCTCTGTTGTGACCTGCTGAGATGAAGCAATCTTGGAATTTTGGTTTTGTAACAACACTGGCACACTCTTCTTCAAATAAACATTTTGTAGGGCTTGGTGGTCATGACCAAAGCCCCAGGCTTCCCTGGGGGGTGGAGAAGGCACTCTTGCTTCTCTGCAAGCCGGGATCTCTAAGGCAGTTTCTGTCAGAGCATCCCGGCTTTTGGTCACATAGAATGTTTCCACGAGAGGTGGCTGCAGGGAAGATGGAAATGGATTCCAGGGAGCAGAGTGGAGATACAGCTCTGGACCTGACGGAAAGGCAAAGGAAAGATTGGTGTGTCTCCCGACTACTTCCTTGGAACTCTCCTGGTAGTCTGCCTTCTCTTCCTGAAGAGGGTGGTGGCTGTTGTGACTTAATTGCCCCGCCTGGCCTGCACTATTCTTCCTGAGGGGAGCCCAGCCTTGGGGCCAATGGTCTTCTTTGGTGGCTATGGTGACATTACTGTGACAAGGATTCTTTGGGAAGAAACATTCATCAGAGGAAGTCATTAGTCCAGGTTTCTCGCTACTCTGAGAGGATTCTTCCAAGTTGTTCTGTTTGACTTCACATGCTTCTACCATGGAATTTGCTATCCTGTTCTCTGCTGCAAAGACCTGCGCATTTGTAGTTCCAGAAGTCAATGATTCTACGTCTGCTGAATAAGTTCCACTACAACTCACCTCTTTCTCACTAGTTGTAAAGAAATCTGAAGTACCTTCTAACTCGACACTCATACTGTCCTGTTCTTTCTCTGCTCTCAAACGCCTAATTTTGGATAGATGGATAGGAAAGTTGTTGAAATCCAGACTGCTAGATACCCCAGAACCAACTGGCAATAGAGTATCTCCTCCTTTGATAGAAGCTTGGGTCAGGGATCTGGAGTCTTCCTCGAGGGAGGGGAAAGATGGCCTGGGCTCTCCTACAGCCTCCAAAACAGGATGAGACAGTTCAAGGAAGTACTTTTGCTGAAGGGCAGCCCAGTCCTTCTCACAGGCACTGCCTACATGAGGGAATGAGGCAGCAGAGGCAACCAACATGCTGGACACACTAGAGTTGTTGGATGCTTCAGAGTTGCCCTGCTGGACCATATCAGG